ATCAAACCATCTATTGTAAAATACACTTCCACTTAAATTTGAAGAATCTGAGACAGTTCTTAAATACAAGCTTCTTAAATCAAGACTCCCCATGATGAATCTGTGCCCTTCCTTAGCAATCGTTTGGGATAAACTGTAGCCCCTAGTCCATAGGGAAGAATTTCCAAAGCACTTGGCATTTGGCCTCACACCAATTTTCCTTTGAAGCTGAAGACTATAGAGAAAATGTCTTACTTCCTGCTGAGTAAACATTTGACCCTAAACTACTGGGAAGGAACAAACTGGACCTTCTGCTTTTTAGAGACAACTAAAAGGTTACACAATCCCTCCTGCTGATTCCTAACAACTCAAGGCAATATTCTTAAGTAGATCCTGCATGCCAAGGTGTCGTCATGGCTCTTTCCAAGACATAGACTATAGTATTCATGAAAATCAGTATGACATGTTTCCGGTGCACTTGCAACTTATCCAGAAGCAAGTGCAACTTTATATCAAAGTCATGCAAACTTATGGAGAAAAGAAAACATTAAGAGCAAGAAGCCCTCTGGCAAATTGACCTGATATATTATAGGACAAGAAAAACAGTTCAAAAAGGCTGATACGTACATCTGAAAAACATCAACTAGAAATTGGGTCAACAAATACTGGGTTTTTGTTGCATAATGAGATCCAATGGCTGCAAGTCAAAGTTAAATAAGCCTGAATTGGAAATACAGCACAGATTTCTAATGGTGAGGATGCTCTAATCATTGGAAGAGGCTGCCTTGGGGTACAGAGAAATCTCCATCCCCTGAAATCTAGACTGCATGTCTCTTCAGGTCTTAAAACTTAAGGCCGCGGCAGTATGTGATGCTGCAGACACGTCTGCAAAGCCACACACCACATATTCAGCTGTTCTCTGCACTTCAAAGGAGCAGCCAGGGGTCAAAAAAACCCACACCAAAACCCCCCCCCAAAAAACGGAGCAGCGCACACGGGGCAATGTGTGCCTCTCAAAGCCAGAGCCTGGCTGGCCAAAGCTATGCTCTGGCTGCTGGCCAGGCTCCGAGCAGCAGGATTGCCAGTGCTGCAGCTCCAGAAAGCCCCAGGATCCCAGGTAAGGCTGCTGGGGCAAGCTCAGTGCTGGCCCCAGCCTCCCCTACCCCACCCGGGGTAAACTGCCACATGCCACACAGCTCATGGCACAGGCATTCCCTGGGGACAACTAGCAGCAGCACAAGGTATCACTTGTGACCATATGAACAGGGCATATCTAGAGTAATCATCTCCTGTCAAACCTTCCTTGGCATCCACCATCATTGGTTTAGGGATGTCCAAGGATACATTCCTGGGCTGTTTAATAGATATTAATGAACCTGTCTTCCATTAACTTCTCTAGTCCATTTTTTAATCTGGCTATACTATCTGCCTCTAAAACCTCCTGTGGCAACAAGTTCAGCAAGTTAACTACTCTCTGCATAAAACAGTACTTCCTCCTGTTCGTTTTAAATTCATCTCTTAATTTCAATGGCTGTCCCCTAGTTCTTGTACTCTGGGACTTGATAAATAACAGTTCCCTATTCACTTTAACCACACCCTATATGCTTCCATAGACCTCTGTCATAACCACCTCAGCCTTCTGCTTTACATACTGATGTCCTAGTCAAATCCAACCTGATGGGGAGGAGCTGCACAAAGGTCCAACAATGTTGAGTGACCAAAAACTGGCAGATGAACTTCAAGGTTGACAAGTGCAAGGTAATGCAGATGGGCAAAAATAACTTCAACTTTATGTACACAGTCATATGCTCTGAACTACCTGTAAAGACTCAGGAAAGAGACCTTGGAGTCATTGTAGATAGATTTCTAAAAACATCAGCTCAATGCACAGCAGTGACAAAAAAAGCCAAAAATTGTAGAGGTGTACCAATATATCATGGTGGGCAGGGGCGGGGCATACAGCAGCAGCACTGAGAGGGGTGGCTACAGGGGGATTATGGCAAACTTTGGAGTGGTTCTATCCTACCCCATATCCCCCCCTCTCCCAGCACCGCCACCACCCCCCTCACCCACTTCAAGCGCAACCCCAGCCCAGCCTACCTACTGGGAAAAGGCCAGCACAGCCCCTGGCCCCAAGCCCACAGTGGGCAGCCCACCCTTGCCCCACACAAATCCAGGGGACATATGCCCACTCCATGCCTCCCCCAGAGAGGTATGCAACAGCAGGGAGCTGCCCCCCCCCTCCCCACCCACCAGACAAGCCACCTGTAGCTCCATCCTGTGCCCCACCCTGGCTGGGAAGTGCAGTACCTGCTTCTGCCCCTTCCCCTGCCCCAGCCCCACTTCCTCCCTCACTGTGGGGGCCTCAATCTCCCCCTACCATGCCCATTCCCCACCCCACCCCAGATTCACCAGCCTGTAACAGGGGGCCTTCTCAGCGCCGATTTCCCTGTGGCCCACCCACCTGTTTCTGGGCTAACCGCCCACCTTCTCACCCACCACACCTTGTTGTTAATTAATTAATTGATGTTAATTGATGTTAATTAGGCAGGAGGCTGCCCATTTCTTGCCCCGATGCCAGGGGACACTATCTGTGGCTCCGTTCCTCCCCTACACCACAGCCCAACCCTCACAGATGGCATCCAGATGTTATCCATATCACCGGCCCCACACTGGGCCCCAGAATCCTACTCGTTGGACCCCACTTAGATCTCTCCATTCAGGCAGCCCATTCTTCCTTCATTCCCAGCTGCATAGCTCCCTGAGCTGCTCCCCCTTATGGGTGTGGTCCCCCCAGGACCTTTGACTACTAGCCCTGGCCCACCTCCAAGCCAGTCAGAACCCCAGGCCCTCAGCTCTTGGGCGTTCCTCATGGTGGGCCCCTGGCCCTTTGACCCTTCCAGTCCTGGCTCCTGCTTGGACCAGTCAGGGGATGTCAAGACAGGTTAAGAGTCTATGGCCTGACTCTCTCTCTCCCTGGGGTCCACCTTCTAGACCCTACAAAGGCAGTAACCCACCTGGTTGTGGGGGCAAGGGGTTAAGGTGCCCCAACCCACCTTTCACCAGGGTGGTAAGTGGCCTGGTATTTCCTGGCAGCTCCCACGCCACTGAGAGCCCCACCAGGCCCCCACTCCTGGCAGGGTGCAGTTTTAGGTCATGCCCAGGACCAGGAGCCTCCTGACCATCCCCTACAGCTCCTCCTTTACCTCCAGATGATACCTGCAGCCAGGCAATGTTGTTGCCTGGCCTCCCAGCAGCAAAATGCCCTGTTTATATGGGCAGCCCTGAATCTAAAATGGCTGCCCTAATCAGGCACCTTCCGGCTGCTGTCTTCTGGCCCTTAAAGTGGCAGGCACAAACAGTGCCCTGCCACAGGCCAGACACTGCTTTCCAAGGTGCCCAGCTGCATTCCTGGTTGCATGTATGCTGCGACTGTGCACATGCACATGGCATTGATCGGTGACATTATCGGCTACACCAGCAAAAAATAGCTGATTGCCAATAATGTCAATTTTCCTTTTATCGGTGTTGATCCAATATGGATCAATATATCAGTGCACCTCTACAATTTTGGGCTTTTTTTTTTGGTCGCTGCTGTGCATTGAGCTGATGTTTTGAGAAAACTACAATAACTTCAAGGTCTCTTTCCTGAGTCATTCCAGGTAGTTCAGGACATACCACTATGTACATAAAGTTGAAGTTATTTTTGCCCATATGCATTACCTTGCACTTGTCAACCTTGAAGTTCATCTGCCACTTTTTGCCCACTCAACATTGTCAGACCTTTGCGTACCTCCTCACCGTCAGCTTGGATTTGACTACTCAAAATATTTTAGTAACATCTGCAAACTTTGAGATTTCACTGTACGCTCCTTTATCCAAGTCATTTATGAAAACATTGAACAAAACTAGACCCAGCAAAGATCCCTGAGGGACCCAATTATTGACCTTTTTCCATCTGAAAAGTGACCATTTAGCCCTACCTTAGCTTCTTATCTTTTAAGCAGCTCTTTATCCACATGGGAACTTTATCTTCAGTTGTATGGCAACTTGTTGTAAAGTGCTTTTGGTGAGGGACCTTTTCAAAAGCTCTTCAAAAATCCAAAGGGACTAAATCCACTGCTTCCTCCTTATCCACATGCTTTTTACCCCAGCAGATTGGTGAGACAGGATTTCCCACCAAAGAAACCATGGTGATTTTTTGTCCAACATATCATATTTACCCTTGTGACTGATGATTTCACTTGATGGCTCCTACTAACTTGCCTGGGATAGAAGTGAGACTCAGCAGCCTGTAAGTCCTAGGATCATTTCTGGAGCCCTTTTTGAAGAAGAGTATTATGTTTGCAACTCACCAGTCCTTTGGCACAGAGGCTGTTTGTAATGACAAGCTAAATACTGTTACCAACAGTTCTATGATTTCACATTTCAGTTCCTTCAGAACTCTCAGGTGAATACCATCTGATCCTAGTGACTTAATCATGTTTATATTATCGATTTTTTTCTAAAACCTCCTGTTTTCACTTCAGTGAACATGCAATATTTAGACATATCTGTTAGGAAGGGATGATCTGGTGTGGGAATCCCCCTAATATCCTCTAAAGTAAAAGACATGCAAATAATTCATTTAGTTCTCTGCTATGGCCTTATCATCCCTGAGTTCACCTTTTACTCCTTGATCATCTAATAGTCCAACCAATTCTCTAGCTGGCTTCCTCTTTCTGATGTATTTTTAAAAGTTTTTATTATAAATTTCAGCATCTTCTGCAAGATCCTCCTCAAATTCTTTTTTCGGCCTGCCTTATTTTGCTTTTCTATTTGATCTGCCAGAGTTTGTGCACTTTCCTGCTTTCCATTTTTTGAAAGATGCCATTTTGCTTTGGTTAGCCTTCTTAACTCTGCTAAACCTGCATATTCTCCATTAGACCCTTGGAAACAAATAGAAATGCTTTTTATATTGCTGACAACTTCCATGTTTCAGAAGATTCCTTATAAAATATTGAAAGCACAAATATTTTTACCTGATTTTTTCCATGGGCATCTCTGAGTAGAAATAATTTCCCTGTTTTGATTAATCTCTTTGACAGGAAGATCCTGGAATGTGGTACCAAGCATATAGGTTGACTCACGAGTACCAGGTGAGATCTTCATATGAGCTGTAAACCTGGGGCATGGTAATGAAGGTCCCTTATGGTGGTGCTTACACTGGGGGAAAAAAGTAAGAGTGAGAATCCAATGATATTCTGTGTGCAAGAGTCACAGCTATTAAGTTCATTTAGCCAATGACAACACACAAAGGGGTGCATGTAGCACCAGTTTCCTATAGCTGTCTTCCATTCTTTAAATTCTGAGGACATAAAAACAAAGAATCTGTCTCTACAGAAAATAAAACCATGTGCTGGCTTGATACACTGTGGGGGTGTTGTTTTGATTTTTGTGTTTTGTGTTTGGAGAGGGGTTGTATGCATTTTCTCATTTTTTAGCTTATATCAGTGGTGCTCAATCTTTTGGCTCCATAGGCCAGATAAGTGGCGTAGGGCTGGTCCGTGAGTCAGTACTGAGCCCCATGCTGCTCTGATTGACCTCGAAGAACTCCACTCGGCCCTACACAGTCCCATGCAGTCCAGCTCAGCTCTGCTTAACTCTGTGGTGCCCCAGTTGGCTCCATGCCACTCCATACTGCCCTGCTTGGCCTCTTGCTGCCCTAATCAACCCCACACACTCAATCTAGGATGCAGACCCATGCTATCAGATTCACAGGACTCCCCCTGTCTGAAAATTTGATAGCAGAGGAGCGGCAATCAGTGGCCACTGCTCCCCCACTGCCAAATTTTATGATCCATAAGGAACCCTGCAGGTTGGATGACATGCCTTCACAAGCTGGGGGTTGAGCACCCCGGGCTTATAGCATGGGAGGTCATAGCAAGCCATTCAGGATGGATTCTGACACTGACCTTTCTTCCTAGCCTCTCATTCCACTAAGCAGAAGAGCTCAAGTCCATGAATCTGGTGCACAACCCCATACCCAGATGGGGCATGTCCAGACAAACATGCACATTTGGTTTGCAGAGGCCCAAAGCTGCTTGAGGTGCCACAAACTGTATACAGTACACATTCACGTTCACCCATTCTAATTTGCAGTGCAGTGCCAAAGTTTGACACCAGGAGATCCCACTGCCAAAAATAACCACCACTGAAAAAGTGGCATGGTGCATGCAGCAGCAACATGTGCCACCAGAAATGGAGCATGGCTGGCCACAGCCACATTCTGGCTACTGGCCAGACTCCAAGTGACTGGATCAGTACCACTGCTGCCCCAGGAGGCCCCCAGGACCGCTAGGGCCAGGACAGGTGGGATAAATATGTGCCACTGCTATCTGTCCCATGGGAAATGTGAGCTGCTGCACATGCACCCTTGTCTGGATATGCCCATTGTGTCCAATGTTGGTATATAACACCATGCAGGCATAGAGGTCTTAGCTAATGACTCCACTTTCAGGCTTGGGAGCCCAAAAGAAGGGCAAACAGCAGTCTTCAGTCAAGCTCCAGTGCTAGGGACAAAAGTTATACATAAATCAGTTTAAGTGATCAGAATCTGGTGTAAACCTGTAACAGAACAGAAGTTCAGTACACATAAACTGTATTTCAAAATGGTTGAAACTGGTTTAAGATACTGTGCCCTCACCACACCTGATGTTCTGGGCAATATTGATTCCCACTAAGGTTCATTATTATCTTAACCCAAAGGATCCTATCTACTGTCCTTGCCTAAGTGGCTGCTTGGCCCGTTCTTCCCTGCATGGGTCCCAAGACAGCTACCTTTTCCCTGGTTCTTTCCTCATCACCCTCTTGTGGCTGAGGTCCTCTCTCTCTTCTCCTCCCCCTTCTGCAAGGGTAACTCCACCTTCACGTTCCTCCTCTTCTAGGTCCCCAGAGTGGTTCCCTTCACCCACCAGAGTCCAACTCACCAGTCACTCAAGCTCCTTCATTGACTCCCACTCTCGGCTGGACCTCGTCTGGTAAGTAGCAGGGTCAGAGCTTACCCTTGGGGCTTCTACTTATTCATCTTCGCTTGCTTGCTCTCTCTTCTTGTCTCCTTCTTTCCTCTGCTCTCTTTCTTCTTCTGCCTTCCCCAAGACACTCCCTCAGCATCCCTTAAATCTCCCTCTCTTCAGCTGGGTCCCATGCAGCAGTTCCCTATTGGCTGCCTACCTGACCCAGCTGTTCCTCCTTTGCATACCGGCATGGAACTCTTTCTTTCTCTTTGTTCTTGTCCTGTGCCAATCTTTTCCTTCCCTGCTTGGTTTCCTTTGATCTGCCACGGCCCCAGACAGCATCCCCATCCATCCAAATTGTGCTGGGGTCTGCCGCGGCTCCTCCAGCTCCCAGAGGTAAGTTTCCCACCTACAGTCCTTCCTGCTTCTGGTCATGGCAGGGTGCTTCAGGCACCCTGTCACAATCAGACTTCACTGATTTAGGTCAAGCCGGTTTATGAAACTTCTGTCCTAGACCCCTTCTGGGTTCAAGTTAAACCACAGTCCCCCAGCATCCCAGCATGCTTTGCAGCCCTGGGCTGTGCTCTCTGCCCCAGAGAGCAGGGTTGGCCCTGCCCCTCTGCTCCCTAGCCAAACCAGTGAGGACTGCCTGGAAGATCTAACCTTATCTTTTCCACTCTTCTCCAAAGTAAAGCCCTTTCTAAGAAATAATCCTGATGCAACTTGCAGAAAGACTAATATCAGGGCATTTTTTTCAACAGTGGTTAGAGATTTTTTTTAATCCTTACCGCAGCAAGCTACAGACTAGAGTCCTGGCTCTGGTGTGAGATGCGCGGGTGTAAGCACGCTGTGCCCCCATGAGCCCGGGGACCCCAGCAGTGACCACAGGACCCCTGACGATCCCCAGCCTGCTGGCAGGTAAGCAGGAGCCCATGGAGGGAGGGATCTAGTCAGCTGGGAGCGGTCTAAGTGGGTTGAGGAGGGTCACGGCCCCCTGGCTCCTACTTGCCCCAGCCCCCCAGGGAGCCATGCGACCCCCCTGCAGTCGTACATGCCAGGTTAGATGGAAGTCACCCACCTGTTCCTTCCCTTGGTGGAGGGGAGGGACCCCCCTTAACCCCCCAAAAGCACTGAGGCACCGGCCAGCTGTTCTGTGCATGCGCGCAGTTTAAAAAGGGCCAAGCAATGGCATAAGCCTCATTAGAGTCCTGGCTTCAGTGCAAGATGCACAGGTGTAAGCCCACTGTGCGCCTGTGAGCACAGGGACCCCAGCAGCGACCCCAGGACCCCTGACAAGCCCCAGCCTGCCAGCAGGTAAGCAGGGGCCCATGGAGGGAGGGATCTAGTCAGCTGAGAGCAGGCTAAGTGGGCCGAGGAGGGTCACGCCCCCCACAGCTCCTACTTCGCTCAGCCCTGCAGGGAGCCGCACAACTGAGCCTCGTGAACAGGCCGTGCAAACAGGCACGTTCCTGGGCCCAGCACATGATTTAGCGTGGGAGTTCATGCAGGAGGGCGAGTGGAAGGGCCCGAGGCCCTGCCTGTGAGCCCCCCAGAGTAAGCAGTCCCAGCCGTAGCCAGTCCACCAGCGGCATGACACAGATGGGCATGTACCGCACCCCAAGGGTCCCCTCGGGGTCTGCAGTGCCCCCCTCTGGCACCTCAGAGACCGCGACCCAGACGGAGACCACGGTCTCCCTCCAGGACAAGGGAGGACCCGGGGACCTCCCCTTCTATCCAGCCACAGGGTTGGACCAAGGTGGTCAAGGGCCCCAGGGCCCACCGCACCAAGGCCCCTGCCCCACTGGAGCTTTGCAACAGGTATGACCCTCTTGCAGCCCCAGCAGAGCCTGCTGAGTTGCCAGCTCCCGCAGGCAACACAGAGGACACTGTAGCTACTGTCCCCACTCTCCCCAAGACCAAACGTAAAGTCTTTGTCATGGGAGACTCCATCCTGAGGGGGACTGAGGAGGTAATATGCCGACCCCTTAGCCCGGGAAGTTTGCTGCTTCCTGGGGGCCCGCATCCAAGACATTGCAGAGAAGATCCCTAAACTCCTCCAGCCCACAGACCACTATCCCATGCTCCTCATCCATGTGGGCACCAATGACACAGCTCAGAGTGCTCCGAGCCAGGTCATGAGGTGCTACAGGGATTTGGGTGCAGGGCTAAAGGGTCTGGGGGCACAGGTGGTGTTTTCTTCGATCCTCCCAGTCTCAGGCTACGGGCTGAGGAGGGAGAGGAGGATCCAGGTAGTCAAACAAAGACTGCAGCACTGGTGTCATCGGGAAGGCTTTGGCTTCTATGACCACAGTCTGGAGGCCAGCAGCTCCCCACCACAGGAGCTCATGTGCCCACAGCCACAGCCACCCCTCCCCTACCCAGCTGGACAAGCAGGTGGACCTGGCTCTTCCCGTGGGTTTCAAGAGGAACTTTGGCTGTCTTCTGTTTAACTTGTAAGTAATAAACTCACTGGTCAGGGTGTAATAAACTAGTCCTTTCAAATCTCATCTAGTCATAAAGCCTGCTGAAGCCTGCTGCAGTGAGAGGAAAAAAATCTCTAACCATTGTTGAAAAAATGGCCTGAGATAAGTCTTCCTGCAAGTTGCATCAGGATTGTTCCTAAGAAAGGACTTGACCATGGAGAAGAGTAGGAAAGACAGGGCTAGACTCTCCCTGCTTACACTGTCCCTCTGCTGTGAAGCATAGCCCACATGAAGTGGCCCACATAAAGTGGCCAGAAGTGGTGATCCCTATGGCAAAGCATAAATGGATACCAGGCTGTCAGCTAGGATTTGCCTGGCTGAGGTAGTCCCTCCTAGGCTGTTGCCCCTTTACGTCGCCCCTCACACCCCGCTCCCCACTCAAGCCCTGCAGCAGACCCAAACGTGGCAAGTGGGCCATGGTGGGGGGTTTAAAGCGCCCCTCCCCCTGGCCTCAGCTGTGCTAGCCCCAGGCTGGGCCTGGCCATGCCCCATCTGCTCAAGCAGGGAGGGGGAAAAAGTCTAGGAGGGCTTCTCTCTTCCCTTCCCTTTGGCAGTGGCTGGCAGGCTAGGAGACATGCTCTAGCACCCTCATCCAGCTTCTAACCTGAGCCACTGCAGGCATGTGGCTGCATTTCCTGAATCAAAAGTGAATGTTTGTTCACTTGCTTTTCAGTTTTATCTCTGCAGTTTAGACTAACCTGCAAAGACTGAATCAATTCAGCCTCAG